ATCGCCCCCTTCCCCTCCCCCCAGACGGGCAGCTACTTACAGAGCTTCTGGGCCGGGGCTCACACCTGAGCGGGACCACAGAGGGGCTGCACCTGGCCTTATGGGTAGGTTCCTGGGCAGAGCCCTGGGGAGGCTGGGGGCGGGGAGGCGGCAGTGCGGGTGGGAGGATCTCTGGGCCGCTGCAGCCCTCTGGGTTTAAGAAGAGTCAAGTATGCTTCCCTGGCCCGCAAGAGCTGGCTCCCCTGCCTGGCCCGAGTTGTGGAGATGCTGAGTTACTGCTGTCCCATCCACTCCCTCCTCAGGGGCCCCAAGCCCCGCTCCTCCCTGCGTTCAGGTGGGACCTGGCGGTTCAGGAACCAGGAAGAGCAGCAGTGCTGTGAGCCCAGGGCAGTGGTCAATGAGGACTGGGGAGCAGGCCCCAGCCAGTGGCGCTGGGAGCCCACGAGTTGGGCTGGAAGCCCACGAGTTGGGCTGGAAGCAGCGTATTTGCTGACCCGGCTGGCAGATGGGTCGTTGGCATTTCCTTGCTGACCTGTGTTCCTGGCTGGTGGACCATGCTGTCCTCAGGCCGTGCCAACCTGCGGCCTCTTTAGAGGGATAGTTTCCTCATCTGCGCGTCCCTGGGAGCCACCAGGGCAGACCGCCAGGAAAAAGTGGTGCTGGGGATGGAGGGAGCAGTGCGACCCTGACAGGGGGCTGTGGCACATCAGTGGGTGCCATGGGGGGCAGCCCGGGACAGCCCAGGGTCTACTGCACCGGTGTGGAGTCTGCATGGACGCTCAGACCTCTGACCTTTGGAACAGGAAGCAGCCTGAGTGCAGGGGGAGGTGGAGGTGGGACAGCTGGCTGAGGGGATGGGACTGGACTGGGAGGCTTTGCCTCACCAGAGTGGAGTTCCTAGTGGCTTTCCAGGCTGGACAAACTCCAGCAAAGTGGCTTCATTGAGCTGTGGTCGTGGCTTGCTGATCATGTCCAATCTCTGTGCCACCTGGGGTGGGGGGTCTTCTGAACTGGGGGTGGGAGCCTTTAGCCCAAATGCCACAGCCCTGAGTTAACCCTTCTTTCCCCCATTGTTTGCCTGGGGAGATGGGTTGGAGTGAACGTGGAAAAAAAGGCACTACTGCACTGCCCTAGGCAGACTCCTCTGATGAGGCCCCTCCCCCACCTAGCCACTGTCTCTGCCCCTTCTTCCCCTTTTCTCTCGCCTCCCGCTGCTAACCCACCCGCTTCTTCCTTCCCCCACCCTTGCTGGCCTTGTCTTGATGGAGGCCCCCTTCCTTCTCTGTGTGCTGGGTACATGTTCTCCTGCACCTAGTGAGTTGGGGGCTCTTAACAGCCATCAGCAACAGCATCTGACAAGCTGGGGGAAGTTGTGGGGGAAGAATAATGTTCAGGAACTGGCTGTGGAGGGGTGGAGAAGAGAGACAAAGAGGCTGTGGGGGAGTATGGAGGGTGGTGTGACTCGCTTCTAGACCTGGGGAGCCGGGCGCCCACTGGCTGCTGCTCACCCGCTGCTGCTTGCGGTGGAAGTGACTAAGGCTCCTTTCCTCCGAAGGCCCCTCTCTCCCTCCTGCTCTCTGCCACCTGCACAACTTGTTCTAGCTGAAGGGCCTTGTCCTGGAAGCGGGGCCTTTGGGGCATCTGAGGCAGCACCCTGGTCTAGATCAGTCATCGTGCCCCAAGTTGGAGGAGGCAGGGTGGAGGGAAGGGAGCGGAGACAGCGAGGCATGGCACTTATCTGAATGGACCTGACACTGGGTTAGGGCCGCAGCTGGTGATTCTAGAAGAGAACCCTCTTCCCCCTAAGATTGGGTGGGAGTGGTACCTAGGCACACCTTGTAGGCACAGAGGTGGTAGATAATTGATAGTAGGAAGGGGAGGCCGGAGTCCCCCAGGTGAGAGGGATGAGCAATTACTCTGCATTCTTCCACGTCATTCTCCCAGCTGTTTGTGGGCCGGAGGGGGGTGGGGGAGCAAAGGATGCTTTTCCCATTTTAGAATTTGTTGAGTCAGAGAAAGAACTAGGACTTCCATCCTCAGTGTTTTAGGAATCACCATCGGAAGCTGATTGGGAAAGCAAAGACTTGAAGATTGAATGAAATGAAATGAACCTGCAAGACAGTAGGCCATTGAGCTTAAAACCAAGGTTCTTAACCCGGAATTCCAGGATAGGGGTGTCAATCCATGGGCAGGCTTTGGAGTGTCCCTGGAATTCCTGATACATACGTCCATCAGATTCTTATACCAGTTGGAGGAGATGAAAGGAAAGCCTGCCGTTCAAATCACTTTGTAGGTTGGAGCAACTGGGAAGAGAAGGGGCTGCTCCAGCGTCAGCTGTTCGTGAGACAGAGATGTAGACGCTCCGCCTTTCAGCTTAGAGCTCTCATCCTCCAGGTTGCTTTCTGGTGTTCGTTTTTTCATCTTGAGGATGGGCTTCCATTCACAGCTCTAAGCTCTCAGGGAAAGCTTCCTGTTGAAAGGCATGTCAGAGATGGGATATTTTTTTCTCTCAGAATGTGGTGTGGTGGAACGGGCGCAGAGCCTTGAAGTTTGAGAGCCACGTGTTTTAGATTTCGTAGATGAGGTTGAAGAGCCCTCAGAGCAAAGAATGAAGGGTTTCATGGTCCTCTGTAAGGGGGTGGGAATCCTGGAGCAGGTTGTGAGAAGGAACGGGCTTCTGGGGCAGAGCCTGAAATATGCAGTGTGAGATGGCGAAAGATGGAGGCTGTCCAGTTGGTACAAGTGGGTTGGGATGAGTTTGTCGGTGGGATGCCTGGCCTATAGTGTGTGCTCAGTAGATAATTTTTGTTAAAAGAACAAATGTATTTATGCGTGGCTCTGAAAGATGCACACAGAAGGAAGGGGTGAATCTCTCTCGTGACTGAACACGCATTGGATGTCATCCTGAGAACTCCAGGATGGCGTGTGAGCACGGGAGCAGGCAGGCTCTTACGGGCTTTGTGTGGAGGTTGAGCAGATGGGGAAGGAGACATGCTCTTTAAACACAGCAGTGATTTCATCATCAGTGCAGCAGTGATTTCATCATCAGTAGACACCACAACAAAACTAGAATTGTGGTCTGGAAGCCACAGAAAGGTATTGATTGCTCAGGAAGCTGGAGGAAAGAATGAGAGGATCCAATTCTTGATTGGGAAATACTTTAGGAGAGGATGGAGCCAAGGTCTGTGCCTAAACGAAGGTGCGTGACGCATATCTGAATAGAATTAATCTTTCCATGTCAGAGGGTGGGCAACTGATCATGGTGACAGATTGGGAAAGGTTAGACCCAGGAGGAAGATTTCCTAGGAGGCAGAAAAGGCTGGAATTGAGCCAAATGATTGGAGTTTAACGTCTCAAATTCAAATCTTTGTTTCCTGTGGCAGGCCAGTTGAGTTGATGAGGGAAGAACTCTCTTCGGCCCTTTGCCTCCCATCACTGTCTCCAGACCACAGAGAGATTGAGCAGAGCACCCTAAGTATGTCAGGTGGCGTTGCTAATCCCTGGAGAGGTCAAGGTAACTTCTGTTCCTTGTTTTCCCAGGCTGAGAAGAAAGCCAAGGTGATTGCAGTAATGAATGCTGTGGAAGAAAACCAGGGGTCCGGCGAGTCTCAGAAGGTGGAGGAGGCCAGCCCTCCTGCAGTGCAGCAGCCCACCGACCCCGCATCCCCCACAGTGGCCACCACGCCTGAGCCCGTGGGGGCCGACGCTGGGGACAAGAACGCCACCAAAGCAGCAGATGACGAACCGGAGTACGAGGTGAGCGGCTTGCTTCTTCATCTGCCTCGTCCAGCTCTGCCCTGGGTCCTTCCACTGCCAGCTCCAACCGTCCTGCTCTCCTCTACCTTATCCCAGGCCTCTTCCTCTCCCCAATATTTTGCTTTGTTTTTGGTCCATTCAAATGGAGCTACCTCCTGGCTGTCCCGACCCTCAAGTGCCCCGGGTTGGGGTTGCTGTGGGGGGATCAGGGTGGCAGGGACTCGTGACCGCCCTGTAATGACTTGTGCTCTTTGGGGCTCCAGGACGGCCGGGGCTTTGGCATTGGGGAGCTGGTGTGGGGGAAACTGCGGGGCTTCTCCTGGTGGCCAGGCCGCATTGTATCTTGGTGGATGACGGGCCGGAGTCGAGCGGCTGAAGGCACCCGCTGGGTCATGTGGTTCGGAGACGGCAAGTTCTCAGTGGTGAGTTAACAGTGTTTGGCGGCAGCTTAGGGGAGGAAGGGGTCTTTGTCGGTCTCAGGGCCTTCGGTTTTGGTTGGGGGCGTGGTCTGGAAATGGGGTGGTAGAAGTGGGCTCTGTTTGCCCCGACTCTATGTGGACTAATGGAAGAAGCCCGGGAGATGATTAGGTAGCCTGGGTGGCTCAGAGAGCTAAGATCCTGGGGGAGGTTTTGCCTCAGAATTTTCCCCAGAATTCCTTTCCCGCTTACATTCAGGTCCTTTGCATCATGTAATTATTGGTGCACCTAGTCCTCTCAAGGGCAGAGGCCCACTCTTAATACCCACAACCCCTGCCAGTTGCCAGGCATGTGGGGGGCGCTTGATGAGTGTGGAAGGAGGAAAACCAAGGGCGGTGGTTGTCCCTCCAGGTGTGTGTTGAGAAGCTGATGCCGCTGAGCTCCTTCTGCAGCGCCTTCCACCAGGCCACCTACAACAAGCAGCCCATGTACCGCAAAGCCATCTACGAAGTCCTGCAGGTGAGCGCCTTCCGAGGGACTGGGAAGAGGGAGCCTGAACGCAGGGACTGCTCCTTGGCCTGGAAGCTGGAGGCTGGAGCTTGGCCTGGGCAGAGGGTCCGCCTGCCAGGCCCTGGGGACTCCTTTTGTGTCTGCCTTCTTTGCCCCCTTTCAGCACTCTTCCTCCCCAGATATTCTCCTGCAGCCCTCCCCTTCCCTGCACCTTCTCCCACCTTCACTACTCAGAGTTTGCCCTCCGGCCTGTCCTGATACCCTCCCCTTACACGTGTTGCCCTCCAGGTGGCCAGCAGCCGAGCGGGGAAGCTATTCCCAGCGTGCCATGACAACGACGAGAGTGACACTGCCAAGGCCGTGGAGGTGCAGAACAAACAGATGATCGAATGGGCCCTCGGAGGGTTCCAGCCCTCTGGCCCCAAGGGCCTGGAGCCACCAGAAGGTAAACGCAGGTGCCCAGCCCATCCTTATGGGACCCCTGCCAGCTAGGGCTGGGAAAGCCGTGCTTAGGGAGAGCCGCCAAGGCCTCCAGTGGGAATAGCCACAGTCTCCCTCTCCTCGAGTCAGGGTCGGGGCACTACTGCTCTGGGGCGCAGAATGACCTGCTCTCCATTGGCCTGCCAGCACCAGAGTTGGGAGCAAGGAACAAGTTGGGGACTGGGCTGCACCCCATTGTAGGTAGAATGGGGAAGGAGAGGGAGCGGCGATTTCTTGTCAGCTGGTAACCATGACCTTGTCCCCTGCTTTCCCCATCCAGAGGAGAAGAACCCCTACAAAGAAGTTTACACAGATATGTGGGTTGAACCTGAGGCAGCTGCCTATGCACCACCCCCACCAGCCAAAAAGCCCCGAAAGAGCACAACTGAGAAGCCCAAGGTCAAGGAGATTATTGACGAACGCACAAGAGGTAGTTGGCCTGGCTCGGGAGAGAGTGGCGTGGCAAGGCCGGCAGTCACAGGCATGGGTGAGGCCCTGGTGGCCGCCTCTGATGCTGGGCTTCCCTCCCCCCTCTGCAGAGCGGCTGGTGTACGAGGTGAGGCAGAAGTGCCGCAACATCGAAGGTGAGTCTTGACGGGGCAGCTGGACGCCGACTCCCTGGGAAGTCACTAGTCTTAGCCCCTGGGGTGGACAGCAGGCAGGCTGGCTCCTAGTGAGGTGCCTGCTGTAGAGGCATCCCTCCTTAGAAAGGTTTGAGTGACATGGGGCATCGCCACTCAGTGACGGGATCTGTCCTGTATGTCCCACCACCTCCAGCCTGCTTTACATACCCAAGCTGTCTTCCTGGTGCCATAACCTTACTGTCCTGTCAATGGCATGGGCTGGTCATTAGGATTTGGTACACTCCAGTGGGTCAGATAGGGTGGCCCCCCTTGAATTTGATTGACTTTGCCTGAACACGACCTTTCGCCTCTCCTCACCTCTCACCTGGTGGTCTTGAGCACCCCATGTCTGCCTCACTTGGCCTAGTGCTGTGGTGTGCAGCTCGGGTCCCTCAGGCCCAGGAAAGATGGGGACGGGCCCAAGGAACATCTCCAGAGTAACCTAGGGACAGGGCCCTGTTCTCGTGGGCAGGTTCCTGCCCCTGTATGAGGCCACTTTTGTCTCGTGGCATGGCTGCTCTGAGAGATGAATGGCTTTCTGAGATTGGGGCCACAGCGCCTCCCTGTTCCATGGCGCACCTCCCAGAATCCTTCCTGCTTTCTTTTGTGGCCTCTGCTCCAGCACGTTCCCTTTTTGTAACTGTTTTGGAGCTGGCTTTGGCCTGAAGCGAAATGAGGGAGGGTGCCCTGCAGTGATGGTCACTCTGCTTTCTTTGCTTTGCAGACATTTGCATCTCTTGTGGGAGCCTCAATGTCACCCTGGAGCACCCTCTCTTCATTGGAGGAATGTGCCAAAACTGCAAGGTGGGGACACACCCGGCACAGACATGATTGAGGGCACCCCTTGGCCCCTGGCTGAGCGCATCTCCTCGCCTCTGGCCTTGTAGGGAGGGCAGCACCTGGGGTAGCTGGGCGGTTAGCTCTAGGGTTTGCTTTGAAGCAGAGTCCTGACAAAACCGATCCCTGAGCTTCAAGCATTTGACTTGCCTTTATTTTTCCTCTGAAAGATTCCACCTCCGCCCCCCCACTCCCGCCCAAGGCCATTCTAGTTCCCCAGATGTGGGCTCACAACATCAGTCACCAGTGTGAAGTGGGGGGTGGCAGGCTTGCCATGGCCTTGGGGCTCAGAAAAACCCAGGGCCACAGAAGCCGACAAAGGGTGTGGCTGCCTCCCTGGCCTTCACTCAGGCGTCCTCAGTTCTGTCCACTGCTGGGGGTTGGGAGACCTGTCCCCTTCCCTGATCTGTGGTTCGGGCTGGACCCTGGCTGGACGAGGGGCAGTGTCATGTCTCCAGGGCCGAGGCAGGGTTCCAAGGTGAGAGCCCAGAGGCTGGGTTTAAAGCCTGCCTTCACCCTGGCTGTCCGAGGTCCTGCCTAGTGGTCTGACCCTCCACCCTGCTCTCTAGAACTGCTTCCTGGAGTGTGCCTACCAGTATGATGACGACGGCTACCAGTCCTACTGCACCATCTGCTGTGGGGGACGTGAGGTGCTCATGTGTGGGAACAACAACTGCTGTAGGTAAGGGACCCCACAACCTGCAGCGTCCCTCCCTTCTTGGCCTGTACTGGGCTTTACTTACCTGTCCCGCCCTGCCCAGCCCCATCCAGGACTGGCCTGGGGCTAAGAGTCTCTCTGCTACACTGGCCTTCCTTCCAGGTGCTTCTGCGTGGAGTGTGTGGATCTCTTGGTGGGGCCAGGGGCTGCCCAGGCGGCCATTAAGGAAGACCCCTGGAACTGCTACATGTGCGGGCACAAAGGCACCTATGGGCTGCTGCGGCGGCGGGACGACTGGCCCTCTCGGCTCCAGATGTTCTTTGCCAATAACCACGACCAGGAATTTGTGAGTGCTGGGCCCAGGGCGGACTCTCGCGCTCTTCCCACCCCCTGCCTGCCTGCCAGAACCGGAGGGCAGACTAGGCTGAATCAAGAGCTCTGCGCTCGGTCCTGGGGCCCGGCAATGAGCAGACGTGAGCCGGACGCGCTCGCAGTTGGCTGGGAGGGCAGCCCTGCGTGTGGAGGGCTCCTGGCACTCAACCTGGCCTGTTGTGTCGCTGCCTAGGACCCTCCGAAGGTTTACCCACCTGTCCCAGCTGAGAAGAGGAAGCCCATCCGGGTGCTGTCTCTATTTGATGGAATTGCTACAGGTGAGAGTGAGTGCCCAGGTCCCGAGGTGCTGGCCCTGCTCGTCCTGGGACGTGGCGCTCTCTGCTTGGGGCTGTGTGTGTGGCACTGTGGCAAAACAAAACAGGCGTGAACATCACAATGGTGGAAACATGACTCTAATGAGGAAATTTTGTGTTCATTGAAAAGTAAAAAAAAAATGAAAGTGGTAAGCCAGCATGTCTGGTGGGCACTTCCTTAATGGGGAAGGCTCCCCAGCAGAGGACAGAGCAATCATTAGAGATTATTGGCGATGTTCACAGAGCCTCAAAGGATAGACTTGGCGACCAAAACATAAACATGGGCAGTTCTGTTGTGCTTTGATTGTAAGTCGCAGTAGAAAACAAACTAGAAATGAGAGAGTAAAGAATATTTAAATTGCTCATAATCCTGTAATTAGTGTTTTGGTGTATGTCATTTTAGATTTTTGTATGTGTGCATATATATGTTTATACATAGATAGATAAAACAAACGGATAGCAAAATGCGTAGTGTTGGAACGTGCCTTTTCCTTTATGGTAGTATGACTGCTTTTTTATGCACCAGTGTAGAGCGGCATTCTTTATTTGTAAATGCTGTGTAGGGTTTCTTTGAGGGAAAGTACCATAATTTATTGAACCCTCTGTTGGGTTGTTTACTGTTTTTTTTACTGCCACCAGCAGTGCTGTGACCAGCATCCTTATACATACATCTTTATGTCCTTAAACTGGTATCTTTTAGGAAACACTGGGTCACCGGGGAGGCACTGTGTTTTTCATGCAGTTCTTGACCTTGCCAGAAAGCCCTTATGGAAGTGGGTACTGACATGATCCACCCCTCTGCTCTGCCCCCAGGCTGAGGGATTCTCAGTGCTTAAGAAAGGGGTCACCCTCTTCAGAACATGCCTTCCTGTGACCAGAGGGAGATGGCCGGTCTATGCCCGGAGACCTTGGCCAAAAAGCCAGGGTGGGGATGGCATCCCAGATGTTCATCTTCTGTTCTCAGCTCAGTGCTGATGTTCTAGAAACCTAAGGAGGTTCACGTACCACTTTGGTTTTCCAGACTAGAACTTTGAGGCCCTCTTAAACCCCGTCGCACCCCCCATAGGAGGCTGTAGAAGCTCCTTGGCCGGGAGCTCTGAGGGACCATTGGAACTGGTGCCATGGTGGCCTGTTGCTCCTGAGGCTCTCAGGGTCTGTTCTTATTGTTTCCTTGCCTCAACTCAGCAAGCGTTTGTGGAGGGGTCGCGGTAAGGAAGTGCGTGTAGTTAGCTCAGGAAGGAGTCCGTGAGTGATACCTCCTGCTCTGGACCCTGAAACCACCTACTGTCTGGTCAGCCTTTCCTGGCCTTGGCCATCTTTGAAGTAGATCAAACTAGACATGAAACCGCCTTGATGTACTTGTTGATATTCCAGTTGGATCCAGAAAGATTTAAGGCACCTTACTGGGCAGGGCAGGGCTTAGTTAGGTCTATGGCTGATCCGTGTGTATGGCTGGCCAGAGGGCTCCCCTGCGAAGACCAGGGTACCAGAGGTGACCTGGTGACTGTGCCTTTTGCTGGCTGGCGCAGGGCTCCTGGTGCTGAAGGACTTGGGCATTCAGGTGGACCGCTACATCGCATCGGAGGTGTGCGAGGACTCCATCACGGTGGGCATGGTGAGGCACCAAGGGAAGATCATGTACGTCGGGGACGTCCGCAGCGTCACGCAGAAGCATGTATGTCAGTGCTGTGGGACCCTTCCCTCCTCCTCCGTGTCCCTTACGCTCAGCCCCTGGGGGCGGCACCAGCCCCCTTTCCTTTTGTTCATTCTTTTTCTTTCCCTGTTTTTCCCCAGAGCCTCTCTGCCTGTCTTCCATTTTCCTCCTTGTCGCAAGAGGATAATGGGCAGATTAAAATGGGAATTGGGGAGCTGGCCTTTTGGGTCTCGGGCTGCTCCCCGGCTAGTTCCAGGACCATTTTTAGTTGAGCACTTAGGATTGCAGCTTTACCAGCCTCCATTTCTTGGGGGCTCCAGCGGGGCCTTGCCTAAGTGGCCCTTTGCCCTTACAGTTAACCTGCGCCCCTGAAGGCAGCTTCCTGGGCAGGGTAAGGCTTATTACTAGGCCCTTAGGAAATCCTGAAGGGCTTTTGAAGGGCACTCAGGTGACCCAGACACCCTGCCCAAAGTGCGCAGAGCACGAAGTACCTTCATATATTCAGCTGTTCAGCCAGGACCACCTCACTGAGTGGCTGTTTTTCCTGCTGGGAACACACTGGTTTCCCTGCTGGCCTCAGAGATTATTCAGCTCCGTCCCTTCATTGTATTGTTTTGGAAACTGAGCTTACAGGGCCTTAGTGACTGGCCCATGACTGCACTGTGTGTGTGTGTGTGTGTGTATTAGGTTGTCGGAAAAGTCATGACGTATTTTTTTCTATGTTTTTCATTGAAAAAATGTGTCGTGACTTTTCCGACTACCCACTAGTATGTACGTATGAATGTGTATGTAGTGAGCATACAAAGCCGGGTCTCCTCTAGCCCATGCCAGAGTACTTTTTTGCTAAATTCACAGATAATTTCTCTCTTCCTTCCTGCCTCTGTCCCTGGACATCAGGCCCATCACAATACCTTTATCCTCCCAGATCCAGGAGTGGGGCCCGTTCGATCTGGTGATTGGGGGCAGTCCGTGCAATGATCTCTCCATCGTCAACCCTGCCCGCAAGGGACTCTACGGTAGGTGCCGTGCCCCCCCCACATCCGCCACCGCAGCTGGTGCTTCTGCACGTAGGTTTCCTACTTGAATATTTCTGCCCTGGGACGGCTACTCCCGATGACCCTGTCCTCCCTTGCCCTCCCTGTGCCCGAGTCACACCGCTGTCTGCAGACAGCCCAGCTGACGGCTTTCTCTTCCGCCTCTCAGAGGGCACTGGCCGGCTCTTCTTTGAGTTCTACCGCCTCCTGCATGACGCGCGGCCCAAGGAGGGAGATGATCGCCCCTTCTTCTGGCTCTTTGAGAATGTGGTGGCCATGGGCGTTAGTGACAAGAGGGACATCTCGCGATTTCTCGAGGTATAGCCAGCACCCTTGGTTTGGCCAGCTCACTAATGGCTTCTGCCTTGGACCACCGCTTTATCTCCCTGTCTCGTCTGCATTATGGAGCTGGGGACTGAGGACTTCCGCTTTGCAAGGGGCCCGTTTGGGAAGCTAAGGGCTTCCCAGTTAGGGAGGAAGCTATGTCAGAGGCCCACCCCGGAAAGAACCTGTGGTCTCACTCTAAGAGGTGGTATTTGGGTGTGGGCCTGAGGGCTTGAAGGACCTGACCGGTCAGAGGGTGGGGTGCCAGACTCCAGGGGCTGGGGTTCTGTGTGGTGTTCCATGGGGGAACCTTGGAGATGCCAAAGTCGATTTTCCCAACCAGAATGGCTTGTCCTCACTCCTTGGCACGTGATGGATGCTTTATGACACCTGTGACGAAAACATGGCTCATCTCATAATGTGGGTCCCAGCTCGGCTCTGAGCCTGGTTTGAGCTGTGCGCAGAGGATTTTTGCAGCTAGAGGCATTCTCAGGGTGGGCGGTCTGGGAGCTCAGCCCACGCTCCGAGTCAGGATCAGGAACACCTCAAGCTGCTGTGATGACTGTGAATGCGAGTAGGTGTCTGTGGCTCATAATCTGGACGTCCAGTGAACACGTCCACACTTGTTGGAACTTCCTTTCTCAAGGCCTGTGGGTGAAGGACAGCTCTGTGGTCCAGCATGGTAGCCATGAGCCACGTGTGGTATCCAGATCTACATTAAAAGTCACACCAGCCTCACTTCACATACTCATTAGCCACCTACAGCTAGTGGGCTGCTGGCTAGTCATGAACAGTGCAGATAGAGAATGCTTCCCTCATCATAGAGTGTTCAGTTGGACTGTGCCGGTTAGAATGTTCCAGTGAGAGCATGTGGAATGCGGCTAAGTTTAATTCTGGCTTTTCCTGGAGGCTTCCGGCTGTCCCAGTGTGTGGCCTCCTGAGAGAGAAATAAGAGCCTTTGACGCTTCAAGGCTCTAAACTAGCAAAATTTCCTGGCACTATTTAATAATCTTCTCTTGCACTCATCTTTAATCTCTCCTGTTTTATAGTCCAACCCTGTGATGATTGATGCCAAAGAAGTGTCAGCTGCACACAGGGCCCGCTACTTCTGGGGGAACCTTCCTGGTATGAACAGGTTGGTGAGGGCTCCCGGGCCTGGGCTGGCTGTGGGTTGGTGTCTGCAGGCAGGACGACCTGAGGAGGGGGGTCCCTGAGTGGGTCCTCTCGGGCCAGCCTCCCCTTGCTGATCAGCTTGCTGCTTTGCCGTGTTCTTCTGTTTCCATCTCCTAGAGGAAGAAGGGGAGTCAGAGTATAGAAAATACTTGCCTGAGAAACGAACAACTAGTGGTCGGAAAATAGGACGTTTAAAAGCACACTCTTTATGCAAAAGAAGAGTCAGTGTGCTGCTGAGTTAAATAGTTGTTCTCCTATGTTGGCGATGTATCTAGAGTCAGTGGGGCCTTAGTCGCCTGAGGTTAAGTCATAGAGGATGGGTTTGGGATGGGAAGGAGGTGCCCACAGCCTGGCCACACCCCGATCCAGCAGAGGACATCTTGAAGCAGCACCATGCAGGTTAGAGGGTCCTACTTCACTTATTACCCACACACTTAGATGGCTTCAGGTCTTTTGTGGGAAGGGTGCTCTTCATTTAGATTACACGCATAGAAAATTTTATTTCTTCAGTGTGATAATTGCGTTATAAAAAGACCTGCGAGAAGAAAGGAATTCTGGTTGAGAATGAGTGGTTCAAAAGCAGAGTGCGATTCAGCCACTCTAGGTACCGACTAGGGAGGGAAACAGTTTTCAGAATGTTTTGAGTGTGGATTTTAAACCTCCTTGGTAATAACCTGTAAATTGGAAACATCATTTAACCTGGCCTCAGTCATCTAATCTCCTTCTCTGCCATTAGCATGAAGTTGCAGGAACTTCCCCAGCCTCGTACGCATTCAGTAGAGCTGAAGGAGATGGGAAGAAGATTGGTCAATGGGGCAGCTGACTTGAAAACACACAGTTGCCCCCTAAAGTTCCCAAGGTGGATGTGTGTATTGGGAAAATGGACTGGCTTGTAGATAGATAGTCCAGTATTTTCATGGAGCCACTAACTCAGTGTCTCTTGACAGACCGTGGTCCTATGGGATTGTTCCCACCTGCTGCTTACAACTCTAAAATTCTAGAACTCTGAGTTTCAGGGAGGAGCAGGGGTACCAGGTGGGACCAAGTAGAGTGTGTGGGGGCATGAACAGGGAGGAGTCTAGCCCTCCATCAGGTGCAACTGATCTCAGAGTCATTGCACACAGATTTTCAAATATTTAACAGTTAAGTATCGTGACTCATCACTTGCGTGTCTTCCCCCTCTACCGTAACCTACCGCCAGTCTTGTTTGTGACTTAGTACAGTAAAGATGTATTTCATAGCAGCATCTTTGTGTGCGATGAATCTGTGAGATCAGTTGCACACCTGATGGAGGGCTAGAGCAGCGATTTTTCCTGCTCCCTGTGGTTCCCATGCTGAGATGGTGGACTGATACGTGAAACCTTCATTAAGTATTTTCAAATACCAGAAAAGACCCGCGCTGAAGGTGATACTCAGTGGTCTGGTCTGCCCTCTGAGAAGTGACACATTCAGTGTCTCAGAATTTTAGTCTTTAGGGGAGTGTGCAGAATTTAAGCCTGTTTAACTGTATATTTAAGGTCTGCAGTTCAGTGAATGTTATCCAGTGTACACACCCATGTGACGGTCACCATAGTCACACAACATTCTGTCACCCCCAAAGCTTGCTTTGTGATGGATGCTTTTAAAACTCAGTGTATTTTTAAATAACTGATACAAAAATACTGGGTTTTCCCCCTTCTGGGCACGTGTTATCTACTTATTGGTAATTTGAGACCACTTTTGATTTCATTTTTAAGGATTAATGTTCGGCGGTTTTGTGTCTGGATGGCTGTCGTGTGTGTGCACACGTGTTCTGGGGGCGTTTGAAGGGCTTACAACCTGTGTGGGAGACAGAGTCCCCTTTTGCTTACCTGTGTGAGTCAGATGGCTGCTGGGTGTGTCCCTGTTCCCCTGGTTTCTGTTGTCACCTTCTCTTTTCTGCCTCCTAGGCCGTTGGCATCTACTGTGAATGATAAGCTGGAGCTGCAGGAGTGCCTGGAGCATGGCCGGATAGCCAAGGTTAGCCCCAGTGCCAGGCGCCCTCTGCTGGCGGGGAGGGGGAAGGGCAGAGCGCAGGATGAGGTGGAGCTGTCACCAGGGCTGTGCCTGCCCGCCCCAGGGCTCTGTGGGGGCAGCTAGTGTGGAGAAATCGGTTTAGGAGGCGATATGGGGGTCACACACACAGTAGGTTCAATGGAAGGCTCCAGGGGAAAGCCTGGAGGGCAAGGAGAGAGATCAGGCATCTCTGCTGGTTGAGCATCACTTGCTGCCCTGTGGGAGGCGGACGCTGAGAAATCTTTGCCGAGGTCCCTCGATCTGCTAGGGCTTTTTCATTTTTTGGCCAGGACTTATTGCATGAGCCTTCAGAGCAGAGATTCTCCTGTGATGTGGAAGCTCTGTTTCTCTCACGAGAAACCTCCCAGAGTGAGTGCACCAGGTGTCAGGTTCCATGAGAGCAGGTGCCAGCATTGGGGTGTCCTTAAGTCCCAGAAATTTAGCATCTTTTTGCCTGCAAATCACTACACTTGTGGAAGAAGCAATTCATAGAATATTTAGGAAGGACAGTGGTTTGAGCTGCTACATCTCAGGCCCTTGGCCAGCGGGATTGGACTGAGGATGGCTGGGTAACCTCAAAGTAGGAAGAGCAAGGCAGTGGGGTCTTTGGAGGCTCACGACTGGGGGCCTTCCCCCGTCCCCTGGACGGACCAGGCCCTGTCAGGTTGACTCACCAGCCCCAGGCGAGCGCCTGGCACACGTGGTAGATGCATGACCAGCGAATGAGTGCTCATCCTTCTTTCCTCATCTTCTAGTTCAGCAAAGTGAGGACCATTACTACTAGGTCGAACTCCATAAAGCAGGGCAAAGACCAGCATTTCCCCGTCTTCATGAATGAGAAAGAGGACATCTTATGGTGCACTGAAATGGAAAGGTACCCAAGGCCATGTGCAGGTGTCATGGGGCTGTGTGGTGTGTTCTGACTCGCATCCTTGAGGGAGGGACTGCTGTCTCTCCCGGCCAGGCTTGTGTGTTCCACAGATGTATGTGAGCAGTGAGTTTTCCCAGGCATTTCTCAACAGGGCAGATTCCTGGGGATGGTCCTGAAGTAAGAGGCGTCTGGGAATCAATCCATTATGCTCCTTGGCTCTCAGAGGTCCTGCCGCACTCCAAGGAAACATGGCAGCTACAGGAGCTTCCTTAACGCAAGCTGCTCGTTTTAGGCACCTTAACAAACCAGGACAGCACAGGGCCCGGTGGGCCTTACAGCCTGAGCACTGTGGACTCACAGGCTAGATTATTTCCTCCTTATCCGTGTTACTGCGATTTAGCCAAAGAGGCCATTGACACAAACAACCCAGAGCCAACAGGAACTCCTGGAACGTATAAAGTTTGTAGGGTTTCTACCCCTCTTGTGAGGAAGGTATTAGGGATGTATGGTTATGACTTATAGACATCCGATACCCCCTGTGGATCTAAATCTCAGGTGGGGCCTGTCCTCCTGGAAGTGTTTTTCACAAATACTAACTTTGTTTCTACTGTGTGATAAATCTCTAGGCCGCGATTATCGTTCCTTCAAATCCACAGAGAGACTAGCGGGGTGCCCGAGTCTTGAACTGGTTATAAAGGACAGAAGATTCGGCAGAACCCCACAGGCCAGCGCTCACCCCTGCCCTCTGCCTTTTCTCCCCAGGGTGTTTGGCTTCCCTGTCCACTATACCGACGTCTCCAACATGAGCCGTTTGGCGAGGCAGAGACTGCTGGGCCGGTCGTGGAGCGTGCCGGTGATCCGCCACCTCTTTGCTCCGCTGAAGGAATATTTTGCTTGTGTGTAAGGGACTCATGAGGGCAAACTGAGATAGACACCAAGTTAAACAAACAAACAAACAAAAAACACAAAACAATAAAACATCAAGAACGTGAGGATGGAGAGAAGTATCAGCACCCAGAAGAGGAAAAGGAATTTAAAACAAAAAAAAAACCACAGAGGTGGAAACACCGGAGGGCTTTGCCTTGCAAAAAGGGTTGGACATCATCTCCTGATTTTTCAATGTTAATCTTCAGTCCTATTTAAAAAACAAAACCAAGCTCTCCCCCTCCCCCCGCCCCCCTTTTATTTTTTTGGTCAAACCTTTCGTTTTCTCTTTTCAGAGGGGTTTTCTGTTTGTTTGGGTTTTTGTTTCTTGCTGTGACTGAAACAAGAGGGTTTATTGCAGCAAAACTCAGTAACAAAAAATAGTAACAATACCTTGCAGAGGAAAGATGGGAGAGACAGAAAAAAAGGAAATTCTATAGAGATCTATATTGGTATTGGATTTTTTTTTTTTTTTTTTTACTATATATTTTTGTTGTTGTTGTCTCTAGCCTGATCAGATAGGAGCACAAGCAGGGGACAGAAAATAGAGAGACACTCAGGCGGCAGAATTCCCTCCCAGCCACTGAGCTGTCTTGCTAGCACCATTCCTGGTCATGCAGAACAGAACCCAACTAGCAACAGGGAGACGAGAACACCACACAAGACCCTTTTCTACAGTATTCAGGTGCCTACCACACAGGAAACCTTGAAGAAAATCAGTTTCTAGAAGCCGCTGTTACCTCTTGTTTACAGTTTATATATATATGATAGATATGAGCTATATATATAAAAGGTACTGTTAACTACTGTACAACCGTTCATAATGGTGCTTTCAAACAGCGAGATGAGTAAAAACATCAGCTTCCACGTTGCCTTATGTGCAAAGGGTTTTAATCAAGGATGGAGAGAGGGAGATAGCGTGAAGGTGAATCATTATCAAGGTGGGGATTTCCCCCCCACCCCCCTTGGTGTTTAAGGAAGTGAAGGAGAATTCGGGAACAGCATTTTCCTGCTTCTCCCTGCCAAAAAGGGGGTGGGGGTGTGTGAGATGAGGTGGTCGGGACGTGGAAAGCTGAGAGAGGAATTCACCCAGGCTCACATAATAACCTTTTGATTTTTTTTAAAAAAGGAGACTTCCCTCAGCAAGATGGCGGGATAAGGGGTCTTCATTCCCAGTTTCTCACATTAGCTGAACCGAGGGCCCCTCGTGGTGGGATCAGACATAATCCAGAGTGGGCAAGTGACAGTAAAACCCCACCTGGAGCAAATAAAAAAACATACAAAACGTACTGGTGCTTTCCTGTCTAAAGTCGCCTTTTGTGTGTTCTTTTATGAGGCCCCACCATCCACCCTCTGCACAAGGCGGCTTCCAGCCCCTGGAATGTGATGTTTTTGGTCATCTCCAAAGGCTGCAGTTTTTTTACTGGGAGGCTGATGACACCTTTTGTTATATTCTTATGGTTCTGGTTATAATTATGTTTGTTTTCAGATTTTCTTTAAGAAAACAAAAACCCACCCTCCCCTCCTTTTAGGTTTCAAACCAAGGTGCGGGGAGCAGGGTGCTTCTAAGTTAGTGGTGGCCCTGGTGCCCTGGCTCCCTACCCCTCGGGCCAGGTGGGCCACCAGGCGCAGCGACAGCTGGGCGGCCAGGGACTGTCCCCCAGGCCAGCCTTCCGGTGCGTCCCTCTTCTCTTCTACTCCCCTCCTCTTGAGTCGTGTGTCAGGGCCGGAGGGAGCACTGGGCTGTCTCCCTCCTCGTGTGTGTGATTGGAGTGGTGTGTATTTCTTTTCTAGTGCTTGGTCTGATGATAGCTGTGCTCTTACCTCGAGTCAGCAGCACCTGGAGCCCCAAGTGCACGACACTTGGTTCCACTTCCTACCGAGGCAAGCAGCCTGGCGTTGGCGGTAGGCGGGGACGGCATTGGCGGCTCCAGGGTGAGGGCCCAATGGGCAGATGCTTGCCTGGATAGATGGGGTGTAGATATGTGGCATATAGAGATATATATTTTATAATGGGAGGGGGGATGGCACCTCCTGGGACCGGCAGGGCTGGGAGGTGTGCTGTGAAGCACATGGTCCCAAGTTCGCATCCCTAGAAAGATAGGGCCTATGGTGATAGGCGCTATATAAATACATAGATAGGGTCATGTATAAGAAATATTATGTAGTGGGGAGCGGCGGGGAAGGGGGCTCAGGGTGCTGAGCCTCAGGCCCCACTGCAGACAAAAGCCCCACAACCAATCAATCAATCCCACACGCATCCACAGGAACATTTCTATACCGTTGCATAACGAATGCACTCACGCAGCCAGGGAGCACCCCGCACGACTCTCCCCAGGATTCAGGACTTTGTGGAGTCAGGCCCTGCAGCTCTTTACCTCTGTTGCCCTGATTGCAGGTAGACTGTCGATCCCAGAAGTTGCTAGGTGCTGAAGGCAGGAAAAGGAGGAGGTTTTATTTTAGCAGGTGCTCTCCTCTAGCAGGTAGCGTTCTCTCTCTTTTGCCCCTGGTGATGTCAAAAGATTCTTCTGTTAGCAACCTGTGATACTGACCTGCAACTCTAGGCACCAGTAAAGTCAGCCCTCAACTCCCCCTACCTATTCTCCCCCCACCAAAAGACAATTGACATCCAGGTCTGTCTTGGCCAAGGGGCTTCCATTCAAAAAAATAATAAATGGGACAGTGAACCTCATGTTTTGAATAAAGCAAATTAGTAATTGGTGACCAAATTAAATCAAGGCTTTGAATCCCTTGCTCGTGGCTCAGGAGTAAGCTCACCGCTGGTGGCCAGGCTCCCGTTCCCCGTAGGGGTGCTTAGTTCTGGACTTAAATCTACTCGTGTCCTTGTCAGATTGGCTTTGAAGGCCACACCCAGTTGCTTCCTGCCAGCTCCGATGTGGTGGCAGGTGGTGATGGTGGGCCCCAGGGGGTTGGAGTGGTTAGGAGAGGGGGGATACCTCTGCCCCTCCCTGTCTGGAGTCCCTGTACCTAATTGTGGTGCTCATCCCATCCCCTCCTACTCCAGCCAGGCTCCATCTCCCTGGCCTGGAGCCCACCAGCACCACTCCAGGAAGGCTGTGGGGAGGAGGGCTGCCTCAAGCAGTCCAAGGTGCTACCTCCCCTGCTGGCCAGCCCCTGCTGTTGGGACAGCCTGGGCCTTCCTCTGCAGACCTTCAGCTCCCCGGGCTCTCCTAGGCCTCCATCTGCTGCTTATGTGATGGAGTTTGCCTTTCCCAATGGCCCAAGCTCCACCCGAGGGGTGGTGTGGGGAAGAAACTTGGTAGCCAGGGACATGGCAGGCTTGTTTAGTGTGGGCAGGCCAGCTTTCCCAGAGGGGGCTCCTTTGTGGCTGATCTCCCAGCCCAACAACCTAACCAGGTGCCCCTCGCAGGGATGAGTTCACGATCACCAGCTTTTCTTCCAGCCGACGCTTAGTCCCACAGTAGAACTTGGTAGGGCACAGGGGACTTTGGGAATGTGCCAACTTGCCATGCCGGGATGCTCTGAATCCACCTCTGATCCTTGGGGGGGTGGGGGTGGGGCTTCTGGGGACAGGTACCTGGTCACCTAAAGGGGAGCTGTGCTTTGACAGGTCCATCCAAGGATTAAGGTGGGGATTGTTACACTTGCTGTGGATGAGGCTGAGGGTAGAGGCAGTGGAGCAGGAGAAATGAAGGCCTAGGGAAAATCCTGGAGTTCGTGCCCAGTGGGATTTTCTTTCTAAAGAACAGGCCCACTTACCCCTGGAAACAAAGGCTTTTAGGGACTGAGGATGGTGCCTCCTTAACTTACTGCAGGTGCCAAGTGGAGTGTGGTGCCAAAGAGGGTCTGTGGCTCGTGTGGGGCCGGTAGCTGGGGACTCGTGCCAGGGTCACAGAGCCCTTGCTTGCCTGCCTGAGAAGGAAGCTAGTCTCCAGCAGGTAGCTGCTGAGCCTGGTGGTCCTCAAGCTGGCTGGTGCTAACCCCCTTCCTTCCCTGTGGGATGGACTGGAAACAGCTGGGGGAGCAGCTGGTGAGGTTTGGCGGCAGGGAGCGGTCTTGCAGTTGGCAGATGACAGTGTGTTACTATCAGTTTTTCTCTAGACCCCAGCACCTTTTTGCAGTTGGACATCTTGTGAGAAATTGCCTGACGAGCGTCCGGGGCCTCTTAGCTTTTGGGACAGGCCTGGAAGTGGTTGGCTGGTAGAGATGCCCCTGTGAATTTGGTGGGTTGCTAAGGTGCAGATGGGGACAGGCAGACCCAGCGGGAAGGAAGGCCGTTGCACATTGAACTGGCCTGACAAGGGCCGGCTCCCCGTTCTTCCCGCTTAGCTGGCAATTCTGGGGCAATTCTAGATGGGAGTGGCCCTCCATCTCCACAGGAAGGTCCGTAACAGCAAGGGAAGGAATAATTGAGCGGGGCCATGGAAATGTTCTGCAGGAAGACCATGCTCAGTAGTTTTCATATCTTTATATATGTATATATAAAGTGGGTGCTGGAGGCGTTGTTGAATTCCTGTCGCCGTCCGGTTGGTGCAGAGTTGCTGTGGCACTGGTGTCTTTCAGAGGTGTCCTTTGTCGGAAACTCGCAGGAGCCCCCTTTAGCCGAGGGTTAGGGCCGTGCGGCCTGCCAGGCACTAAGAACTGAAGAGGGCTGGCTGTTTCCTTTGCTCAGGGGAGCAGCAGAGCCAAGATCCTGGGGAGAGCTGAGTGCTGAGTGTCTAGCCAGGTCCCATTTGGATCCAAGAGGTAAGGAATCTGAATTTGTCATCTGGCATTGACTAGTCAGGCTGCCCCCAGTCCTTAGGATTAGAGGTGACACTGTAGTTGTCCCGTCCTCGGGCAGGAGGCAGCTGAAGCCTTTCCTCCAGAGCAGGATAAGAAAGGTTATGGAAGGCTAGCCTGGAGCTGGCATGGCCCTCCCACCATTCCCTGTGGAGGCAGGGGTTAACTACCAGTGTTGGGAGGAGCTGGCAAGAAAGAGATTAAAAGATGGACTCCACTGTCCTGGCAGAATCTCTCCAATCTTTACGTTTTGGTAAAGGAAGGCTGGGGTCTTTACGGAGTGAGGGCAGCCCCTCCTGTACCTGTGTGTGAGGGAGACCGTAGGCCGTGGAGTTTGGGGGAGGAAGACGTAGCAGGCCAAGAGCAGTGAGGACAAGGATGGAAGTCTCTTTGCTAGTCGCGACTGGTTACATTGCCCAAACGGAGGCCTATGGACTCCTGTAACTGGAAACTCCCCCAACGAGGGGCCTGGGAGGGTGGCTTTCTCAAACCCCAGTCTGGTGGCCTCCAGCCCGGTACCTGAGGAGATGAGCAGGGATTGAAAGCCTCACCTTAGTCCCATTTCACTTCACAGACTTGATTTGGTTGCACAGACCTAGAATTCAACAAATAGCAACAACAACAAAAATGCCGAAATTCCTTAGAATACGCAGAGGGAGGAGATGACTCAACAAGGTGCTAAAACATTTTATTAAAAATATATATTGTTAAATTAAGTCTGCTGTCTGGACAATGACTGTTTGTTTTGTTTTCTTGTAGTGGAGTTTAAAAGAGACTATTATTTTACTCTGATATATTATTATTAAAAAGGCATTTTAACTTTGTACTTGAAAACTAAATGAGCGATTTCATGTGTTTTAGCTGAGGCATTGAAGTAGCGGGTGCTTACTTATTTGTGGGAAATCATGTATTCATACTGAAGAATAAACTCAGTAGCTGATTTGGTAATAACTTTTACTGTTACAGACGATTTCGCTTTGACCCCGGCGGCAGAGCACTTTTACTCCACATTCCACGCAGCTAAATGCAGGACTTAACTCCCCACCCAGATCCTTCCCTCCCCAGCCCTCTTCCCTTTCTCTTCAGTTCCTCTTTTTTCCTTTTCTTTTTTTTTTTCCTGGTTCCAGCATCCTTTCACCACTGTTTTTTTTTTTTTTTTAGGGTTGCTTCTCTATTTATTGACAATAATAATGTACATTTCACAGTCTGGTTCTGGGACATCCAGGGAGGGCGCGTGTGAGGGAGTCCTGAGTGGGTCCCTGCCCCTGCCCCCCGGTGTTCTGTTGTATCTCTGTGTAAGTGATGCTCGTGACATAGCTGTTTATGAAATAATTAAAAAGGTCAATGCGTACAGCAGATGTAGAAAGTCTGTCAGTTCCGCCTTCATCACATTTTTTTTTTCGTGCCCAGAAGAATATAATAAAGCTCCTTTCTAATGTACTTGTGCTGGAGAACACTTGAATAAATGGACTGTTTTTGTGCAAAAAGAAAAACGGAAAAAGCACCGTAATAATGTCCTTTTGTCTTGCGTCTCCTTTCCCCTGACATAACTGTTCACAGCCTTCTCTGGAGGGGTTAAGTACTAGCACTGGGTCCAGACAAAAAGGCAGGGCCTCCCTTTAAAACATCACCTGCCTGAGCATTAAGTAGGGACTGTAAACTTGGTGGAAAAAAGGACAGTTTGATTGACTTGAAGTGCAAAGATAAGTTATAGTGAGACAAGTTTGCTGGAAAAGCGAATTCTGCCCTGGGCTGAGTGGTAGATGTTTTCAGATGGAGTGGGGGCCTTGTACCAGTATCTTGTCAGGAGGTCTTTTTTTATGGGCACCACTCACCTTTTTAGGAGGCTTTTCCAACACACAAGGGTGTCCAGAGGAGAGCAGCCCAGTGGTACGTAGTCTGGACTGTGCAAGGGACCTTGAAATGAACCCAGGCATTTGGCCTAAGAAATGGGAACGCTGAGAGAGGTTTGCAAACACAGGGCAAGCCCAAGGGGCTGGGATTATTCTAGGTACTTCGATAAGGAGGCAGAAGTGGGGGCCAGGTGGCAGAAGTCGGCCTATTTCAGCCCTGCATAAGGAAAATCCTTTTTCACCTCTGGCCGACAGTGCAAGGGGCCCCCCCGGAGTGCAGTGGTGTCCTGGTGAGCTAAGAGGTGCTGGATAGCCATTTGGGGATACTGTGATCTCCCTTGAGACCCCAAGTCTGGGTTCCTCTCCCCGCCGGGCCCCTCCTCAGGACTGTCTTGCGAGTGGATGGTGCCTTGTGATTTTCAGAGCCAGTCCACATACAATGCCCCCTTTGTCTTCATGATTCTCCAGCTGACCACCACTAGTTCCCTGTCCCCACCATCTAAGAGACTGAATGAGAACCCACGTAAAAATTGGAACTTCCCACCACATCTCACTCTAAGACCCTGGACTTCTGTGCTGCATGTGTCTTCGGAGCGCCAAGCAGGTCCCACCAATGGTTCATTCCCTTAAGGGAGGGTTGGTCAAAGCTGCTTTCCTACATCAGACTCTGGGGAGGTTTAGGACTGCACCACTTTGCTGGCAGCTTTGAAAGAAATTATAAGGGGAAATTTTGAGAAAAAAATAACAGGCTTTTTTTTTTTAATAATGGGCACTTTTCTTTACAAAATTGTAAATGTACATTTAACTTTATCCGACTTTTTTTCTCAATATTTTTCAGTGTCGATGTAGAAATTTTTTTTTAATGGCTACATGGCGTTTTCTTGTTGGATGTTTGTTTCTATATATATGCGTTTTATTTTAGCTATAAATAGAGCTGCAATAAATATCTGTGCTGGCGTTTAAACCCCTATATTTTGTATTTTTTCCTTAAGATACACTCCCAGAAATGAGACTTGTTGGGGCAAAGTAGATGAGCATTTTGGTTGGCTCATGACACATTTGCCTGATTTCCTCCCAGTGGTCAAAACAGACAGTTTATCTTCAGCTCAGAGACTCGCAGTTTGGAAACAAACAAACGAACAAACAAAAACGTAGTCCTCAGTTGGGCCAGTTCAGAAACATGTTAATCTCAGTGGGGAAGTAAAGACTTAAGACTTTTTTGAGAAGCAAGGGGTGGAAACGACACTACTTGGTTTCTAAGTTTTGAAAATTAGCTTACCTGGTGTGCCTACCTGGGAGAAGCTTGGTGGTGGATGGAATTCAGACTGAATCTTAGAGACTCGAGCTGAAGGTTAAGGAGAAGTGGGTGTCCTGGAGCTCTGAAAGCTATGTGTCATCTGAGCTGGCAAGTGGGAGCTCTGTCCAGAGCCTAAGGGAGGGCACTGCTGGGGCATGTCATTAATAAAAGCCATGCTGTGAACATCCAGGATTTAAACACCGGGTCATTTGGTAGTAGAGGTGTAAGGAGAGACAGAGAAGGGTCAGGGCTGGGCAGGAGTCAAGGCCGTTGTGATATGACGGGGTTTCCTGCCCACCTGCCCAGGACACACCACCAGGCCCAGGCTTGTGGGTTCTAGAAAACGTCCTTGGGTCTAGCAAGTTTGACTTGGTAGGCCTCGAGTGGAACAGACGAGGCTGCTTGGGAAGCCAAAACCATACAAAGCAGGGCCAGAGGTGGCAGGCATGGCCAGTGGGTGTAATTCCTGGGGGATCTGGGTGTTAGGTGAGGGGCTGCAGTGAAGGGAAGAAAGTGTATGTTGGAGATGGGGGCACAAGGAAGTCATATTCAAGGGGGTTGTGACTTCCCTGGGACAGTCTCCTGGGGTCATCCCCAAAGCACCCTTTCTGCTAGGTCCCAATAAACTTTAAAAGGCCACAACCCATTCACCTCAGGGGCACTTTTCCCTCCACTCACCTGGGATCCTGTGAGGGCGTGCAGCTGGGTTGGAAGGAAAGTGCCTGGAGATTTGGGGGGTTATGGGCTGAGGCCTCTGAGAGGTGGACCACTAAAACAGCAATTTTCAGAGCTGGATTCAAATCTCAGTGAACCCCTCACTTTGAGCCCTGAAGTCCCAGGCGCCCTGAACTGTGTCAGAAGAAAGACCATGGCACGCGAAGGAACCTGATCCAAACCCTGTGTGACCTTGGGCAGGTTAGCTACCGGCCTTGAGCCTCCCTCCTCTCACTGGGAACCTGGCTTTTACTTTCTTGAGAAGCATGTGGCTCCCAGTGCAGGTGAGGGGACCACAGCTGGGTCTGGGGAGGGATGGAGCCCTGCCTGTGGAGACACTGCCCTGTGTCCCTTGCTGAGCTCAGGGCTTTGGCCAAAGTGGTGCACTTGGGTGGAGGAAGGGAACTTCGGGGCCTCTGGGGATGCCTTGGCCCTGATGGAATCACAAGGCCCACACTTGGCTGGGGAAAGGAAAAATACCAGCAAAGCGAAAAATTCCCCACCTCTCACTGTGTGTCTATCCCTTGCTGGCTGTGACTTGGCTCGTGGAACAGCCACGTGAGCCTTATTGATCACCTGGGTGCTGCCTGGCCCAGGGTGAGGACATCCGTTTGTCCCTGTCTTTCCTCCCCGAGTCCGCCTGTCTCAGGAGGGAGCTACCTGCTCTGCGGGGCGAACTCCTTCCACCAGCCCTGAATCGCGCTCAGCCCTACTGCTCAGGCCATGGCTCCCTCTGTCTGGCACCATCCATTTCTCCACTCGTTCCTGCCGCAGCCCCCGCCCCCGCCCCGCATGTCATTAATGGCACCCATTCATCTTAAATATATACTGTCCTTTGACTCCCCTCCAGATGCCTTATTTCTTGCTCCACTTGACAGCAAAACTTGAAAGCACTGCCTGTATTTGACAGCTCTGCTTTCTCACTTCCCATTCAACTCCACCCACCTGGCAGGGCCTTCACACACCTTCCCACGTGATCTCTCAGGAGCTGGGGCCCCGGGTGACTTCCCTCCTCTCTGATACCCCTCCCTGGGCTCCTGGCATCATACCCTATGTTTTCCCGCCCCACTGGGCCCTTGACTGTTCCTGTCCTCTAAATGTTGAAGGGCTCCAGGTTCCCCCCGCCCCCCCGGACTTCTCCCAGAGGCCCAGGCTCATAAATCCACCTGCAGCTGCCGAGAATGACTGAATTTCCCATGGGTCCAGCCTTGTGCCAACTTCTTAATATGCAGTCTCATTTCATTCCCATGCAAGGGCTTTGTACCCAGGTAATTGTGCCCCTTTTACAGATGGGAAAATTGAGGCTCATGAAGATTATGGAGATTTCCAGGTAGAAGATGGACAGAGGTGCCATCTGACATCCCAGCTGACCAGACTGTTTGCACCTTCCAGGTTTCCTCCTCAAAAGGAGAATCTGCCCAGTGTGTGGTAGGGGTTTGCCTGTGCTCTCACAGCAACCTCTACACTGAAGAGAGTGGACCGTGGGTTTTTAACAAAATTAGTGGAACATGACTCCCCTCCATTCTAAAAGTATATTAATTGCGCCAAATTTTAAAATAACCAAAAAGAAAAAAAAAAGAAAAAAATCATTTATCAACCCATCTCCCAGAGATAATTGTTATTGGAATTTGTTTCTCTATTTTTCTTTTGCATTAAATTCATTTAGAATTTTACTAATTTAAAATTGTATGATTCATTATTATACTGTCTGTAATAATTACTAATGGTGAGAACTCACTCCATGCCAGATAATATCTTTAACATTTTATTGTGAACATCTCCCCACATCACTATTCATTGAAAACATAATTTTTAATGGCTGCATGCTATTCCATCCCATAGATGTACCATGATTTATTTAACCCATTCTCTTTTGGGTTTTGGGGCATTGGTATTGTTTCCCTGTCTTTTATTTGGAGGGTGCTATTATCATGAACCATGCTGAGTGAATGAGCTTTCTATCACATTCCTTCACTAATCAGCATTTTTATTTTTTAAAGATTTTATTGGGGAATTGGGGGAGGGGAACAGTGTTGGGGAATCAGGGAAGGGGAACAGACAGGTTGCTGTCCTTTTTTTTCTTCAGTCTAGTTGTGGAGGACGTCACTTCACTGGTCCATGTTGGTATTATCACTGTGCTCTTCCCCGGTGAGGCAGTCGCTCACTGGCCATTGGACGCCTGCTCACGGCAGCTCATGGCAGCTCATGAAAGCTCACGCTTGCTGCCGGCCAGACCCACTGCAGCCTACGCCATTGCCGGAGACTCAGGGCAGCCCAGCTCCAGGCTGAGCTGTTGTTCACCATCTTAGCTGTAGAGGGCACAGCGTCACTGGCCCGCATGTAGGATCTGAACTTGGGCCCTGCTGCTCAGAGCTGGCATCCCAAGCCAACTCTTAACCAACGTGCCACTTGGCCGACCCAAATCAGCATATTTTTAACATATTTTTGTAAAAAAACCCCACAAACCCACAAAACAAAAACAAAATTCTGCAGAGTCAGGAGAAAAGCAGCAGAGAAGAGTGTGATGGGAGGTATGCAGTGGGCTCAGATAGAACATGCACATGTTCTTTAAAAAACCATTCCGACG